CTCTCATCATTGATGATTCTCTCTGTCTCTCCCTTCCTCTCTGAAATCAATAAAAATATATATATATTTTTTTTTAAATAAAAATATATTTTTAAAAGTGACTACAATTCTCAGAATTCCAAGCCAGACTAACAATGGGTGGTTGTCTTTCTAGCAGCCCGCGGACGAGACAGGAAGTGGCCGGACGGAGGAATCCGAGGAACGAAACCAGGAGCCCCCTGTGAATGTCACCAGGGACCCCAGGCCTGAGGATGCGCTGCAGGTGGTACCCCCGTCCTTGGCTCCCTGCCTCTCCTGGGGCGCCCCGCCTGCACCCACCAGCCGTGAACTCACTTGGTTGAAATAGATTCTACCTGCCTCTCGTGGTGTCTGCGATCTGTCCGTCTTCTCTCCAGCCTGGGTGCTTGGTCTGTTCTCTCTCTCCTGTCCGTCATAATCACACCCTTTCTCTCTCTCAAAGCTGTTTTGCAAAATTAATTCAACTGGAGGAGCATCGAAACCCAGCCATCTGTTGTCTGATATCATTCGTTGTCTAAAGGCTGGAGAATTGGGGGGTGAACCTTTTTTAAAAAATATATTTTTATTGATTTCAGAGAGGAAGGGAGAGGGAGAGAGAGAGAGAGAAGCATCAATGAAGAGAGAGAATCATGGACCGGCTGCCACCTGCACGCCCCTGCACGCCCCCTGGTTGGGGATCGAGCCCACAACCCGGGCATGTGCCCTTGACCGGGAATCGAACCCGGGACCTCCTGGTCCCTAGGTCGATGTACAACCACTGAGCCACACTGGCCGGGCCCATGGATGCATTTAATGAAAGCGATTGATAATTTATATTTTTTCCTAACGAAGATCTAATAACATGAATTGGTCTTTAAGGAAAAGGCAATATAGCTTGTAGCTGGGCATGAGCTTAGGATGAAAGTTTGCCTTGAACATGTGTCTGGGTCTACTTGACCTGCTATAGCAAAAATGCCAGAGTCAGGGTGGCTTATAAAGTGTAAATATTTAGCCAGTGGCGTGTCTCAGTGGTTGAGCGTTGACCTAGGAGCCAGGAGGTCACAGGTTTGATTCCTGGTCAGGACACCTGCCTGGGTTGTGGGCTAGATCCCCAGTAGGGGGCGTGCAGGAGGCAGCCGATCCATGATTCTCTCTCATCGTGGATGTTTCTATCTCGCTCTCTCCTTCCCCCTTCCTCTCTGAAATCAAGAAAAAAAAATATGCCCTAACCGGTTTGGCTCAGTGGATAGAGCGTCGGCCTGCGGACTGAAGGGTCCCGGGTTCGATTCTGGTCAAGGGTATGTACCTTGGTTGCGGGCACATCCCCAGTAGGGGGCGTGCAGGAGGCAGCCGATCCATGATTCTCTCTCATCGTGGATGTTTCTATCTCGCTCTCTCCTTCTCCCTTCCTCTCTGAAATCAAGAAAAAAAAATATGCCCTAACCGGTTTGGCTCAGTGGATAGAGCGTCGGCCTGCGGACTGAAGGGTCCCGGGTTCGATTCTGGTCAAGGGTATGTACCTTGGTTGCGGGCACATCCCCAGTAGGGGGCGTGCAGGAGGCAGCCGATCCATGATTCTCTCTCATCGTGGATGTTTCTATCTCGCTCTCTCCTTCTCCCTTCCTCTCTGAAATCAAGAAAAAAAAATATGCCCCCGGCCTCCCCTACCCCCAGGTATCTTGTGTCCATTGGTTATGCTTATATGCATGCATACAAGTCCTTTGGTTGATCTCTTACCCCCCTCCCCTTCGCCCCAACCCCTCCCGGCCTTAAAAAAATATATTTTTTTAAAATAATAGATATTTAGCCCTGCTGGCGTGGCTCAGTGGTAGAGTGTCAACCTATAAACCAGGAGGTCATGGTTCGATTCCCGGTCAAGGGCACATGCCCGGGTTGCAGGCTCCATCCCCAGTAGGGGGCGTGCAGGAGGCAGCCGATCCATGATTCTCTCTCATCACTGATGTTTCTATCTCTCTTTCCCTCTAATTTCCTCTCTCTGAAACCAATCTATATGTATAAAAGCCTAAGCGATTATTGACTAGTTGACCAGTCAACCAGTCGCTATGACATGCACTGACCACCGGGGGGCAGACGCTCAACACCAGAGCTGCCCTCTGGTGGTCAGTGCACTCCCACAGCCAACGTCCCGCGGTCCCTCCCCCTGGCCGGCTGGTCCCTATCAGCCCTGATCGCCGGCCAAACTGAGGGACCCCCAACCCATGCACGAATTCGTGCACCGGGCCTCTCGTAAAAACATAACAAAACAAGAAACATCTCCTGTCGGCTTGTCTCCCCCAGGTGGACCTGGCCATGTCCATTTCCGAGATCTCCATCAGAGAGAAGGTCAGGGCGCTGAGCCCCGAGGAGCAGCGGAGGAAGTGGGAAGAGGGCCACATCGACTACATGGGGACGGACGCCTTCGCCCGCATCCAGGAGAAGCTGGACCGGTTCCTGCAGTGACGCGGGGGTTCCGTCCGCCATGTTCTGTTGAATGGACGTCTCCTCTCGTGTCTTCCCAAAGGGCAACGCTGTTCAACTACGTGCCTGTCTTCACGGTTCAACTACGTGCCTGTCTCTACGGTTCAACCACGTGCCTGTATTTGTCGTTATCGATGGTCGACCAACCTGAGTGCCTCGCAAAAAAAAAAATAAATAACGTAGACCGTGAACAACCCAGCTGGAAGCCGCCTGCTGGTCCCAGCTCTCCCACATCTTCTCGCCTTCTTCTCACCGCGTCTGCAAAAAGGAGCAGAAAGAAACTTCTGGTTGACCCTTGACCACGGTCTTGGCCAAAGGAGCCTCGCAACGATGCCTTGGACAGATGCTACGACGTCTATGTTGGATGTCACCACGGATTGTCTTCCGTCCCCAAGGGAACAACAGTAGGATCCTGTGTTCAGTACCTCCGGAATCCTTAATATGAACATCCTTTCTCTTTGTTTTTAATAAAATATTTTTACTAGAGGTCCGGTGCACGAAATTCGTGCACCAGTGGGGTCCCTCGGCCTGGCCTGCGGGATCGGGCCGAAACTGGCTCTCAGACATCCCCCAAGGGGTCCCGGATTGCGAGAGGGCGCAGGCCAGGCCGAGAGAC